GTTGACCAAATCCATTGGAAGATTATGTCATCAATGAAACAAACAATTAGAAAGTTAAATATTTCTTTTTTGTAAAAAACGATCCATCCTCTTGCCTATTTGTGTACAAGAATTTACTACTTTTGGTAATGTCACAAAACCAAAGTTATATGGTTCTTCTAAATACTCTTCTCTACAGCACAAACTCAAAGCTCCAGTATTTTCATGAAAGCCAAAACTCGGACCCTCAGTTTGATCTATGTGAATAAATAAATCATTATGCTCCCATCAAGCTATTATAATTATCCTATTTCAAAATTGGCCTCAAATTTTATTCATTTAGCAGCTTCATGAAATATACTGATATGATTAAAGGTTATGGACTATTGAATATTTTCCCTGATGGTACCTGTTCAATGCATGAGGTAAGTTTTAGTTCTTTCCATAATATTAGTTCTTCTGTACTACTATCAACAAACCTCTTCATTGATGCCAGCTCTAAATTTTATGGTTTAAACTATCGATCTAAGAAACTACAAACATATTGTTTTTACTTTTCCATATACTTAGGCGTTCAAACTGTTACATCTAAATTTTGAAATAAATAAATTGATTTTTATCTACATTTCATCAATATGTACGTACAGCCTATATCATTATGTTGAACCTTTCTACTTTGAAAGCAAACAAGATTGTGTGGAATAGTAGATTGATTGATCAAGAGGAATGCTTTACATATATATATAGAGGGGAGATCTTGAGGTTTATAGAAACATCACCAATCAAGATCTCCTCAAATCTCTCTAACCAAATCAATCAAGGGCCGGCCGGCTATAACAGCCTAACGCTGGACCCACACAAACGCATAACACGCTACTGTCTAACATACTTTGTTAATAACAAAACATTGATGCTTGCTGAAAGAACAGATTACAGAGCCCGAGATTCAGCTCAAGACAGTGTTTCATGCCTCCTTTAGGTCTAACCTGTTCCATTACATATCTTCGTCTGATATGTGTGGCTCAGGGTGAAGATGCACGGCAATACCCTGTAGCCTCACAGCCAATGAAGCTACCTGCAGTAGAACATTATAAACTGCATAGGAGATGATGCAGGTTAGAAAGGAGCCAACATTCCTGTTTATATGTTTTTAAAGTTTTGTTCAAATTGCCATTTATCATAGCACCGTTGTGTCCTAGGAAAATATGAGGGTGGCTCAGAACATTTGTCTATTAAGATGAGTAGATGGTTGCCTTGTCTTGCTCAATTGATACTCAATACAGATCGCCACGGAGTTATAAATCCAAAACAGGAAGGAGAGAGGCAAACAGCAGCGAAGGGATAAGGTCATAAGGACGTGAGCGCCCTGGACCACGCATCATGGACTGCCGCGGTGAATATTCATAGCAGTTAGCAGCAGTGATCCATGTTACCCTTTCCTAAATGAACTATTCTAATATTTTTATATATAGTACTTTATAGAGCTCTAGCATTTCAATTTATGTAGTCATCACTACAAGAACAAAAGATGGTACCTCACTCCAAAAATTACTCCATATTTTTCGCATACCAATAATAGCCTCAAACAGACATCAGTGAGCATTTTGGACAGCTACAGACATCCACAGGCTGCTTTACTATAGCAGGGGCGCAGCAAAGCTGCGCCTGTTTTCTAGTAAATATCTTATTTGGTAAACCTTACACACCAAAAATAAGTGAGGTTTTGAGGTTGACTGTCAACCATTTCAAACTTTAACTACCACTTTTATAGTACATTTGTAACTTATGGTAAATGTCGAATTTATGAAAACACAAGAAAACTACTGGTACCATTGATCTGAACATCCAGATTGAATAGATCAAATATAATTTATGATCAAAGTTTCGAATGAAGAATTTAGAAAACCCGAAAAGGCTAAAACGTTTCTTGTTTTGTGACTGGATGAGTAGTCCGTCCGGGCGTAAAAGGTTGTAACTTGTAAGCACAAGGAAAACAGGCGATTATTATGCGAGACTACGCACAATGTATGGCTCAACTGCTCAAGCAAGATGAGCGTATAGTCACCTTGCGTTCATTGCAAATTCTCAATCAAAAGACGGAAAGCCTAGCGTAGGACGCGTCACGCTCATCCACAGTCTCTAGGCCTTGTTTAGTTGGCGGAATTTTTTGGAAAATGGTACTGTAGCATTTTCGTTATTATTTAACAATTAGTGTCCAATCATAGTCTAATTAGGCTTAAAAGATTCGTCTCGTGAATTTCATCTAAACTGTGTAATTAGTTTTATTTTTTATTTATATTTAATGTTTCATGCATGCGTCCAAAGATTCGATGTGACGAGGAATCTTGAAAAAATTTACAAAATTTTAGGAACTAAACAGGCACCTAGCCGATGTGGTCTTTCTGCATCCGCAGGCCATCCCTATCCGCAGGCCAACACTGCTCCACCGCTGCCCTACGCCCAAATTTAGCATCCGGAAGGAGGAGGACCTAGACAAATGTGCCAGACCTCACGGGCTGCGCTAGAGGCGGAGGAGACACCGAGGCGATGCAACAGAAGGCGAGGAGGAAAATACAACAAGCGATCTAATTTTGAAACATCAAGATGCAACATTTGCAACATATGTCTTAAGACTGATGAAACACTTGAAACATGTGTGTGAAACACTTAAAAAAACAAAAAAAAACACTTGAAACAATTGTAAATATACACAACATCCAGACAAAACAGTTACAACATATGTCTGAAAAACAGATGAAACATTGGAAACAAAAGATTGCAACATACGTGTACAAACATATGTAACATTTCGATCTACTTTTGCAACATCCATATAAAACACCTGCAACATACCTATGAACATGACACTTGAAATGTCTGAAACACTTAACATGCATTTTGCAACATGAGGGAGACCAGGGCCGGTCGAATCCAACCATTGGGGTCAGTGCCGACGACGAGCGGTAGCGTGAGCACCACCAGCACCGGGCTTGGCTTGGCCAGGCGGGCAGCGCGCGCGACGGGAGGGAGTGGGCGGCGCGCGCGACAGGGGAAGCGAACACCACCAGCATCAGCGCCAACTGCAGCGCGCGAGCACCACCGGTGGAGAAGAAGGGTGGTGGCAGGCGGGTGCCCACTGCGGCGGAGAAGTCGCGGCAAGCGGCGGTGGTGCTGGGAATCTGGGACCTCGACAAGTGGAGGGTGGGGTTTCCGTTCTGGAGGGGACAACGACTGAACGATTTCCCAATAAGAAAATACTAGCATAATGGAACACATTTGTTGGGTTGTTCAGGCAGCATCACGGCTCACGACGACATCAGTGTCGGACGCCCGCCCCTAAGCATTTCCGATAAATAAAAAAAATAAAAAGAAACAATAGCACACGTTGATGTCAGGGTGCGAGCAAAATGCCCGTTCGCATGCGCATTGTTTGGAAACGATATCTGCATCACCTCTATGCTGCAAACTTGCAAAGATCCATGTCCATTTGCTATTTTGCTCTCTGTTTCTGATACCTAGGATTAGGAAGGAGAAGCTTCTATTGGTGGCTCATTGTCTCTATAATTATTATTTTGTACTCCCTCAGTTCAAAAAAATAACTTTAGGCCAATTAATCTTAAGTTTAATCGAATGTAAATAAAAATAATTATTAATATTTATGATACCAAATAAGTATTATTATATTAATATTTAAATATATTTAGCGGTGTAATTGTTAATATTATTTTCTATATAAACACAGTCAAACTTGAAAAATTCTGACTTAATACTCTGCACATAAATTCTGCACTATAAATTTTTTAGATGGAGGGAGCAAACTTTAATACTCGTATTTGAGTTTAGAGCCTCGCATAAATTCTGCCACTACAAGTAGTACTTTGCACACTAAGCAGGGGTGGGCCCGGTGGGTATATTCAATAGTACTCCATTGAATACCCATTATTTTTGTTGATCAATGGTATTTAAGGGTACAATCAATTATATATGTTCAAGGGTTGAATCAATCCTTTTTTTATCTTTGAAATTTTAATATGCGTTCTTCAAAACTTGGGCCCACCTCTAACACTAAGGAATGTTTTAATGTTATGCACTCCTTTATAAACTTGGACTAATTTCAAGTTTATACACTTACTTTATTATATCACAAATATTGATAATTTTTATAACTTGATGACTAAAGATAATTTTATTTAAGGCAAAATAGATTGAGTTTCTTATGGCGATCTTCTAAATGAGGTGACTAATCGTATCACCACAACTAATACTCTTGCTCTGTTTACTGAAACACAGTAGTACAAGTTCTGGCACCTAATTATTAGTCCAAGCTAGCGCAGTGACACACTGCTAATTCAGTCCATCGATCTAAATTTTGGTGCTGAATTAAGGCGTTCCTGCCTCCTGGTCGAGTGGCTGGCGAGCTGTCACTGTCGACTCTCACCGCGCCATGCGATCTCTAGCTATTATTGAACGATGTGACGCCTCGCCTAATGCCACTTTATTTAACGTATCGTACGCGTGCATGTACAGTAACGAAGTTTTTTTTAATAAGATACAGGAACGTAGTAGTTTGGTGCTTGCGCTGGACGCGTTCGTCATGTACTGTGTGACTCGCGTAAAAACGGACGGAGTACTGCTCTTTAGTCGTCGTTACACGTACCTACGGCCATCCGTACTTTTCAGTTTATTTTTTTAATTAAAATAATATTTTTCTCTCATAACAAAATTAGTCAGAACAGTGTTTCGATTTATTTTTTCAGCGAAGCGAACGGAGCCTACATTTCAGGACCAAGGGCGAAACCAAATATAATTAATACATGTTGGTACAATTGACTTCCAGTTTTTGAAACAGAAATTTATTCTCCCACAAGAGAATGAGAACTGAGAATGAGACATGAACAAAATTAAACAGCGTAATTAACAGTGTACGTGTACCCAAAGATGAAATTTGAGTAGCACGTGGCAACCAGGCGTACGGCAGCTAGCGCGCGCGATCGACTTGAGTGCGTCATCAGTGGATCACATCACACCTCGACGCTGCATCCTGTGGGCTGCGCGAACTTGAGCGACGACACGGTGTTGTTGCCGCCGCCGCCCACGACGCCGGGGTACCCCGCGGAGAGCACGGCGGGGCAGCTGACGAAGAGGTGGTAGCTGCCGGAGACCCAGCTGCCGACCTTCCACTTGACGCGGCCGTCCACCTTGACCTGCAGCGCGACGAACCCGGCCGCGACGTCCTGCTTCAGGGCGTCGGCGACGTAGCCGGCCACGGGCACGGACTCGGCCGACAGCACGGGGGACCAGACGGTGACGTCGCGGTGGCCCTGGTACTGCGGCGGCAGCGACACGGGCACCGTGACCGCCTCGTTCTGGTAGGTCACGAACACGTCCAGGCGCTTGTAGAAGATGCCCACGTGCTCGTTGGGGTTGCGGGAGGCCAGCGTCACCTGCGCCGACGCCGTCAGCGACGGGTCGCCCAGCGAGATGGGCCGCCGCAGCTGCAGGTCCTGCAGGTAGAAGGACGGCTTGGAAGGGCGGAGGGCGAGGTAGATGACCAGCGCCGCGAAGGCGACGATGAGGACCAGCGCCAGCAGGCACGACCCCAGGCAGCCGCAGCAGCGACGCAGGTGGTGCTCGTGGCGGTGGTGCTTGTCATCCTTGCTCATGGCTGGCCGCGCGCTCTGCTGCCCTGCTCAGAGCTCACTACTCTGCTCCGCTGTGCTGTGTGTGGCTTGTGGGTGTGGGTGTGAGACTGTGAGCAGCTGAGCTGAGCTTGCTGGGGCTTTCGTTCTGAGTGGTGGGTGGGTGACTGAGCCGTGCGGAGTAGGAAAGCGTAATGGCTTTTAAAATCGGTAGTGGCACACCTACGCCTACACAAACACAGCGCATGTGGCACTCAAAAGGGAGAGTCTCTTCTTGCTCGCACATCACGTATGGACGATTGGTTAACCCTCGCTGCAGGGTTGAGCTGCAGCCTGCAGCAGAGCAGAGAAGGTGGAGCGGAAAGCAACGTCTCAACCGAAGAAGATTCCTCCATCTGCTACTTCATCCGGTGGGCCACCGGGTCTGCCACGGGGACGTGAATCGGGTTGTGCAGTTGTGCTTGCGCATGTGCATGCATATGCATATGCATATGCATATGCTTTGAGATTCGTGTCCACCTTTGCCCTTGCTTGAGTGCGACGGCGGGAACTACACACGTCAGCTTGAGATTCACTCAGCCACGCTTGAATTTTAATACACAAAAACGGTGGCCGACAGTTGTCCGTTGGGTCCTTCAATCTTTAAACCGAGTGCCTTGAATTTCCTAGTTTTAATTATGTATATAAACCGTTTGTTTTACATCTCTAGGGCTTGTTTGGTACAACGCTTGTAGAAGAGCCCAGTGAACCCGTCCGGTCCTGGCGCCTTGTCTGATGGAATGAAGTACTCAAACAGCGCAGTGTCCTTTGCTTCGTCCTGCACAATTTCCATGCCTTCGACCCTCAGTGAAGCGATGTAGTTTTTTGCAACATGAAAGCCGATGTTCAACAAGGCAACGCGCTAGCTCTAGCGCCTCGACAGATCATGAGATTAACATCTCCCAAACTAACGATGGGGATGGTGTTCCAATGAGTATTCGTGGTTCTCCTCAATTCCTTTCCTCGTTTTTGCACATATATTTCATTAATTAAGTTGATCTAGAGGAGATACATGGATCGCTCCACCCCATGCATCCTTATCCCAAGCCACGGGCGATGGTTGGAAGAAAATGTGGGGGAGGATGCTAATGTTTTTTTTTAGATTAAGGAACAAATGTATTCCGGTCTCCCGCATTCACAGCTGAATGGGTGCAACCCAACCCAACTGAACCAATACAATCCCAGAAGGATGCTAATGTGGCGGTGATAAATGGTTTTGTAATTGGAGCGCACAAGATGTCCGTGTTGGAGTTGGAGAGACAACATCAAACTCCAGCGACTATTCGAGTAGTGCCAAATTGGACTATTCTTATTCGGCTGTGGCCGTAGGGATTCGTGCATCAAATTTGGATGAGTGAAAAACGAGAAGGAAAGTTTTACACACTCTTTCTTTATGAAACAGTTTTACACACTCTCAATACATATTGTGTGCCAATCAATGCAAAATTACTACATACTCCATCTATCCCTGAATAAATAGATTCATAGAGTTGTCTTAAATCAAATTTTTAAAATTTTGACCGATTTTCTAGAAAAATCTATCAAGATTTGTGACATCAAATTATTATCATTAGATATATCATAGAATATACTTTCATAATATGTTATTTTATACCATAGATGTTGTTACTCTTTTCTATAAAGTTAGTCAAACTTAAAAAAGTTTGATCAGCACGGATTCTATGAATTGATTTATTTGGGGACAGAAGGAGTATCAAACTCAATCATAGTTTCAATCAAATAATGAAAAACGAGACAATCAGTATTTATGTACATCTATTTACATGTTAGCATTTCAATACATCATGTTTGAAAATGGCATGTAAGGATGAAAACGGAACGGAAATATTCCGAACCGAACCGCATCGTTTTCTATATTTAATCTGATCGAATCCGCATTTTCTTATCCGACTTTACCATTTTCGTTTTCGCATTTGAGATGTTTCGTATTTCAAATGTAAAAGTAGAAAACGGTTTACACATTTTTCGACCGTTTTCTACTTTTCTACTTTTAATTTGAAATATTCCGAATTCAAAATTCGGTTTAAACCGAATTTGGCCAACTGCACAGGTCATACAGCCCAATTACAGGCTGCTCACCACGCAGCTGCGTTCTTTCTACTGGTGGCTAGCTGCCCTCTCTTATAGACAGCACCCAGCCTCATCTCTCTTATTATGTATTTGGTCGTGCACTTGTTTAATGCTATGCACTTGAACTAGATCATGCACTTATTAGTTGTGAACCTGTTATGTATTTGGTCGTGCACTTGTTTAATGCTATGCACTGTGGGTCGGTATTTCGTATTGAATTTTCGCATACCGACCGTGTTCGACATAATTCCGCTCGAATTGGTTCGTTTCCGAAATTCTAGATATTCCGTAAGTTCGTGTTCGTTTTCGTGTCCGACTTGTCCACTTTTGCTTTTGCTTTCGCTTTCGTATTTTAAATGTAAAAATAGAAAACGGTTGACGAGTTTTTCGATAGAGTTCGACCGTTTTCATCCTTAATGGCATGGATGTGATCTAGTAGAAAGGGAACGACGGCTGGCAAATAGGCAGTCAGAAGGAATTAACGGTCATGCTCAAAAAGAAGGAATTACCGGGCGGTTATTTCTTTTGTTTTTCACCATCCAAAGAAGATCTGACCATGGATGGTGCTTTGTTGGAATGCTGCTAGTTTAACTATACAAATAGTACAAAGTTGATTATATTATGAGCGTTAGTTGGCGTGGGTGTTGTCCCTCCTTGCCGCGGCATTTAGTGGAGAAGGTTGGTGGGGCGTAACAGCGAGCACGCGCCAATGCGTCGGGCGCGCGTTCATCAATCATCATGTTGGTAGTTCCGACGTCGAGTCCATCCGCCCTACCCAAAAGCCCAAAACGTCCGTAATACACTCTGATCAGAGAACCTTCCCCGGCGTGGCGTCACACATGTTATGTGACCTCCATTGGCTCCTTATCTCCCCCACCGACTGCAGATGAGCCCTGTGTGTGCCCTGTAAACTTGTACTGAATAAATGTCCACAAATTAAACATGAGTCATGTTGATGTGGATATATAAACTTTTAAAAGTCCTAAAGTAGATATGCTAATTGCCAGCTAGTTTACTGAAACTCATTCGTTCAATATAGATGAATCGCCCTGTGGCGATCCAAATTGACAGTCAGCAGCTTTTATTCTACCTCCGATAATTTCAGTCTTCTTCCTTGCACATGTCGCCCCACCCCTCTGTCTGTTTGGCAGAATTCCCATACCACTATACGAAAAATATGTTCATGCATATGCCTTTTTTTAATTACTTGAGACGAAATCTGTCAATCTAGATTTAAATTCTCGACTTGACACCGTTTACCTAGTTACTCACAATACTACACAACATGTCCATCGACAATAAGATGGTTTTGGTGATCTCATCGATCTTAATATCTATCAACTAGGGGGCGAATCTAGGTGTATTCAATAGGGTCGCCTGACAACTCACTAAAAGTTCGTAGGATTAGTGTTTATATACAAGGGCGGAACATAGCTGTGGGGGCAGCTAAGGCCTTCCGCAGTGTGAGCCAAGAGTAAGGATGAAAACGGACGGAAAATAGCTCAATCGTTTTCATTTTCATAATTTTTGACGGAAGCACGGGAGCGGGAGCCGGACAACCGGGAGCGGAACAGGAGCGGGATAAACGGTAATGCGAAAATGGATAAATACGATCGAAAAATAGACGGAAACGAACGGTATACGGGAACTTAAGCCGGAACTACATGCCACGTATGACAAACCAAAGGACTTGCTACGGTACTCCTAAATAAATGTGAACCGTCGATTTAGATGATTTTTATCGCATATTACCTTCTAGGAGGTAATAGAATGAAGAAATATATATATTAGCAAAATAGGTAAAATATCTTCCAATTAGATCTAATTTCCATATCCTATTAGATCTAACTTGCATGCATGATGTAAATTGTTCCTATGTTTGTGAGAAAGTGACATATCATGCTAAGATGATTTTTAAACATTTTTTGTAACATTTTTTTCAGATACGTTTGCATGTACGTCACTTGCTAAGATACACGTGTATATCCATGCTTAATCTTTTTGTGCTTAACCCTTTTATGGTAGGCAGCTTTCACGCATAGCACATAGAAAAAAGAGACATTTGACACATGTTTTTGCGTAACATATACATATATACATACATGTACGAGACTCTTTTTTTTTGTTAAATACATACGTGTACGAGTTACGAGTAATGTTATGTTTTGCATGCAGCCGAACAACGCAGAAGCAAGTCTGGCTGACCGCCCGCTCACGGCACAGCTCGGCTCAACACCCTCTGCACTTGTCCGATGAACGTATAAACGGGATGAAAACGCACTACGTCAAATATGATTTCCAGGGGCGGCTACAGTGCATTTGTAGGGGCGGTTCGGCCAGCCGCCCCTACCATACCGTCTCTACAAATCATATCGCTTTACAAATCGATTTATAGAGGCGGCTGGTGTTATCACCGCCCCTACAAATCGATTTGTAGGGGTTTAAAATATAGTCCGCCCTACAAATCAATTTATAGGGGCGGTCTGGGAACACCGGCCGCCTACATAAATCGATTTAGAAGGGCATATACAACCAACCCCTACAAATTATTATTTTTCCGCCAAAAAAAAATTAAATTTACAATTCAAATTCGACATATATTTTTCATGCACAACTCCATCATGACTTATCTTCTCCATGCCAAGAATTAATGTTGGTATTTGAGTCACAACTGGTATCAATTGACGGAACACAGCGGTGCAAGTCTAATTTAGATACAATTGTAGCTTCATTTGGAAAGTCCATCATTTTAGCTTCCCTAAATTTGAGGTACTAACAAACCTGGAGCTTTTTGCCAAGATCCTCATGGCTCAGAACAATAGGTCGATTCGCCACTTCCCTTGCATTGTTAAGTCTTTGCGTTACTTGACCTTTGAAAACAGGAAGGCATGATA